AATGGCGTAGATCCTTTATCAGCTAGCTAGGTCGCATACATTTGGAAGGGAAAAGGGGAGGTATGATGGACGGAAAGGATGAGGAAGTGTCCTGGTTTCTACCGTAGATACCTAGGGTAGGAAAAGGTGAAATACTGCTTGCTTGCACAGTAATGGAGAGGAGCCCAGATGTTGTTTTGCGGACAGGATTTGGGGGCATAGTAGAGAAGGCGAACAAGAATACAAGTCAAGCAAGGGCTGGAGAAGCAGTAAACAGAAAAGACAGCACAACGCCACAAAGAAAAGCAAATTAAAACAAATCTGACTCTATGAATAAGAGCAAAAAATCGAGGCTTTCTTAGTAGAAATTGTTTTATAAAAACCCACCGTCAGTAGCCAATAAATTGGATAGGTTAAGCTGAGAATTCTCAGCTTTTCTCAAGCTGAGAGTTCTCAGCTTCACCCAAGCAGCTCCATTTTATTTGCTTTCAGCTTTACCTAAGCATCAACTTTATAAGTGGGAAAGTCCTCTTCTGATGACAGGTTTTTCCTTCCCTTTACTTTTCTTCTTGTTTTATTTTTTTGACTTTGATTTTATTTCTGCGCCCAGGCTTGCTTTAATTTCTTTTTTGTATTGCTTTATTTCCCCTTTCTCTTTACTGCTCTTTGCAGTTGACTTGCGTCCTCGTCCTCTTTTTCTACTTTGTCCTAAAATCCTTCCTGCAAAGCAAAATTTGAGCTTCTCTCCATCCTCACCGTAACAGCACTCTGCAATCAAGTAATATTTCAACCCTCTCCCTTCCCAGGCATCCGCGACAAAAAAACCAAAAACGTGCTTTCCCCTCCTTTCCATCCGTCACTCATTTCCTTCGTCCTTATTTGGCCTAGGCAACTGCCAAAGGGTCTACACCAAGTAGCTATTGAACCCATCCACCCCAACTCCTCTCCCTGCCCCGAATCCCCCGCCCAAAAAATGTGCCCTTGCACTGTCTCCTCCCCCCCCGTGTTCTTTGCCCTCCCCAGTCCCTTCCATATCCCGTATACCCGCGGCAAAAACCAGCAGCACGACTCCCCCTCCCCGCACCGCCTCTCTCTCCCTTATCTGCGGCATTCAGCGTCACTTGCCACTGCGGCATAAGGACACCCGAAAAAATCGTTCGCAAATCGTGTACAACGTCGGCCGGGCCGATTTTTAGTAGTTAATATTTTAACGCCACTCGTATTTAGCGGCAAAAACCTATTTCGTTTCTGGTGGGCATTGCTCTTTTTTCGAGTGTTTTATAAAGTTCTATGTGTACTACGTTTTGTCTCTTCTCCTTCCGCGACTATAGGATGCCGGTGAACGAGGATAGGGGAGGGGG